TATATATCTCAAAATTTTAACATTTAAGTTTAACATCAATATTTTTACAATTTAAAATGCTGACTCTTACTGTTTTCATACTAGCATCATACTAGCATCAGTTTGAAGTATTCCCTCTCTGGATTTGTTAGCATAATTGTAGGAGGAAGGAAACATTTTCATCGATAGTTATGTAGAGACTTAATGGAGGGATCCTCTACATCAACTTCTTTGTTACTCATCAGCTAAAACATTTTTTTCTAAACAATTCAATTCACAATGTATAGCTTAAATGGAATGCAGTGCAAACTTTTGTTTTGATGAGGTGATTCAATTTAGCAATAGACTTTGATACTTCTTAGGATGATATGTAACATATATTAAAATAAAATGTGTGCACACCTTTGTTCTGATCCAATTTCTGTAATATGTGAATTCAGTGGATCCAAAGCTAGACATAACCCCCATAACATTTCATGTCCAGCCAGCCTTCTTTGCCAGATTGCTGAGCATCTCCTGAATGAATAAAGCAATGCATTTTTCACTTATTTTTCTATACATCAACCACATACTAAGACTCTTCAAGAAAAAATGGTTCACTATTATACATATTGACTATAAACTTTTTTAGTTTCATATAATATGACATACATGCTCAGTGCATCTACTTAAATGCTCAGTGCATCTACTTAAATGCTCACTTTTTGTAAAATAGTTAGCTAGCATTCATATTCATCATACCTGTACTTCTGTATCCTTAAAAGAAATCCAGGGGTTGGTGCTAAATCTTTCTTTAAGCCAATTGACATTCTCTCTGCAAATTTTTAATTTATATAAAAAATAATTGATATAATATATATACTCCATTTCTGCTTGATGCAGACCCCCAAATCATTAACCAAAGTACATGAAAATGTATACATTTACATGATAAAACTATCATTAATGTTTTAAAACAGTTGTTGACACCCTATATTATTTCCAAGACATTTATTTCACTTTTGGAAGACATGCTTCATAATAAAATCATAAAATTTTAAAAGCAATAACTTTTTTTCAAAAATTTTGACAATTGAATTTGGAATGTTCAAATAGTATATATTAATTCAGATTGCAAAAAATTAAATAGATTCGGATACAAATGTAGAATTTTTGGACCAAAAAATCTACAGAGAAACAAACAGGCAGAGAAACAGACATTCTGATTCCAGTATATCCCAAAACATTGTTGGGAAAAATATAACAAAGTTTATTATACAGGGTGTACTTACCTATTCTGAAGCAAGCCTAGGATATTGGTGTCTGTTCTTCCATTTTATTAATGAGACTGAGGCTGACTGTATATTGAACCTATATAAATTATAAAACAAATATTCACACAGTATAAATATTTTCTAGACATATATCTAATCCAACTAAAAGTTAAAAGAAACTACAAAAGAGAGTGAGTACAAGTCTGTAGGTTAAATTCTCTAGTGTTGAAAAAAAATCTATAAATGTCAATTTATATACATGTAAATAATCAAATGAAATTAGATAATGTACTTTCAATAATGTAATAGTACCTTGAATGTCTGATTAAGCTAAAAGTCATTATCTCCCAGAAGATAATGTATAGTTTTATAGTTCTTCATAGTTTTTATAGCCAGCAAGTTCTATAATATATGCCTTAAATATTTTCATATGTTTTCATATACTTATACATGATATACATATATTTTATAAGTGTGCTGGATTTGTTCTATAGAAAAAGAGTTGGATTAATTTAGTTTTTGACATATGTTTAAGTCATTACTTATATATACTGTGATGATTATTGTATTTATTTATTCATTTTTACCTGCATTGTTATCATGCATCGTCTGCCAAACCAGCTTTGGGTTTAAATCGTCATTCAAATCAGCTTTGTGTTCAATCGTCAGTCAAATCAGCTTTGTGTTCAATCGTCAGTCTAATCAGCTTTGGTGTTCTTTGAACAAAAAAAAAAATAAAAGAATACATAAACAGCACTGTGACACTGAACTCCAGTTCCTAAATACATTATTTAAAACATGTTTCTAATTAATTTGATGAAAGAACCAAATGAATAACGATCTCAACAAACATTTTACGTTAACTGCTATACAAGGTTTCTACTTTCACTTTCATATCGAATATAAATATTCAAGCGTATTAACAAAAGGGAAACAAATCTGAGAAATAAGTGATGCTAAATGGCCTTAACATTCATCGTTAACAAATCCAAAATTACTTATTGATCACTAGGTTTATCGGCTTTTTAAGAACTGCATTAATTTAATAATTACATACAAGTGATGAGAGTACTAGAAAGTTTATACGGATCTGTAACCGTAATGAAATGATCTGAACACAATGAACTAGCCTTTAATAAGTCGTTTAAACACTTACTTTTTCCACACCCAACTCTTCAGCTGCAGTAGTGACGTCAAACATGACGTACACTTTCATCTGATAAAAACCGAAACCGGTCCGTAAATAAAATGTGGAATGATTTTAATTTTACTCATAAAATAAAGCCAACCAAAACGGTTTTTGGATAAATTCAAATTAATTTATTCTTGATGAATTTTGTTTTTCAAGAAAACAAATTTTGAATTTTATGAAAGGATTTTTTTGGGGGAGGGGGGGGGGGAGTAACAGAGTACTTTTTCCTTTTTTAATCCAAGCTTCTTAAGGAAATGAACATCTTGATTCTTTTGAATAAATATACATTTAAATTTACACATCTTGATATATGTTATTGAAATTATTTTTTAATCATGCAGTCTACTTGTTAAAATATAACACCAACTTATTCATATTTTGAAATTATTCAAGTGTTAACTGATTAACATTGAATAAACTAATTTTTTTTTATCTCATTGAATTAAAATAAAAATGAATTTTACATGTTTATAACAAGGACAAATAAATAAACACACACAGGTCTGTTTCATATGATTCTCATATGATCATCCTCAAAATATGCATATGATTCTCATATGCAATACCTTTCATATGTGTATCATATGTATATTGCTTCATATGATTTACATATGCGTTTTCATATGATCCACATATGATTCGCCACATATGATACTCATATGATTGAATATACATGTGATTCTCATATGATCCACATATGACCCTCATATGAAAGACAATGCATATGTGGATCATATGTGGCGAAATTGCTTATGTACATTTGTTCAATCTTGTCTTCACAGAGGTCACATCTAATTATCTCCTGGCCACAAAGTCTTGGGTACATTTTCTCAGAGTCTTTAAAACACTGTAAAATTTAATTATCATGATCAAATGATAAAATAATAATGTTTTAAAAAGCTAGCACTTTATGAAATCTGGTAAAAGCAAACGAAAAATGAAATTAGATTTTTACCTGCTCAATCTGTTATAACTGCATGAACATGAAACTACGACTGCAATTTATTGATTTTTCAGTGAATATTAAAAAATGATGACTTTTTTTTTATTAATGTGTAAACCACATTCGTATAACTTTTGATATTAAACTCATTCTGAAACACTTATACATTTTATCTGTCTCTGTGTAATCTAATCCCAATTTAATAACATTTACACATAATATTAACTCAGTTGGCAATCTGTAATGTACCTCTTAGTACTCTAGTGTTCTGCTATTTAGTATAATTTTTTTTTACAAAAGCAATAACAAAAACAAAATAAAAATAAATGTACATAATTAATAACTGCGTAAAAAAGAGTACATATCTCACTAAAGAAGAGATATCTGTTTAGTTGAACAACTTTTTATTAAGCCAAGTCTCATAATTTGGTGAAAAATGAGAAAATGTAACTTTGCAGTTCAATACAATTTTTGAAAAGAAATATATATTTTGTTAATGTGAAATTTGTGGAAACATTTTTAAGAGTCTAGCATTTTTACACAATTAAATTTCATAATTAGATTTTTATTTTAAAACTATGAAAAATTAACAATATGTCACTGTTCTGCATGGGAGATAAGAAAATTTTTTTGTGGTATTTATCTTTAAATGCAACTTAAGGATGGATTCTTCTCATATTTCTTATAATGGCAGAATCTTGATTTTCTGAATACTCAATATTCAGACTGCTTACACTATTTTAACATCCAAAAACTTTGGTGTCATCGGCCTTGATTTTCAGTCAAGGCCATTTGAAAGTCAGTCCTAAAAATAGTACTTTTACACAGGGAAGTTTTGAAATTTATGCATATGAATAAATTTTGCTTACTGAAAAAATATCTTTCACCATAAAATTAAAGTTGTTACTTATTTTTGATGACTAATTCATATGAAATGAGCTGGTGAAAAAATAACATGAAATCCTTTATATTCAATGAATACATTTAATCCGAATTTCCTCGAAATTTTTTCAAAATTCTCAGTTTTCATGAATTCACATGAAATTTCATCTCAATTTTTACAAATGACCATATAATGTCAAATATTTAGGTTTTTGTCTGATGAATATTCAAAGGTTCAAGATTAATTTACAAGGTAAAAAAGATAGAGTAATCAGGCAAATTATCGAAAAAAAATTAGCCCGAATTTGCTCTATACTTTCTGAAATCTTCAATTTACAGAGTGTTTTTAATGTCTATAAGAAAGATTTTTAATCCAAAAAAATATATCAATTTGGTGTAATTGTGACATAAATACATTCATTTCTACCAGTTATACATTCTATTTTTATGGTATTTTACACTAATGATATTCAAAATATTCATTTCGAATTTCCTCTGTTATTTTATTCTTATGAATGTTATGTTTGACAATTTTATAAAATACATCAATTTTCTAGTGGCAATTACAGAAAAATTATCATATACATTCTTCACATGCACAGGACTAATTCAAAGCAACTTAACCTTCAATATAACCAGGAATAAATAAAAACCTTCCAAAAAGTTATGAGAAAAATCATACATAATTTTTTTTAGAAAAGTTTTCAATACATTATTTATGACATAAACATGAAATCAATATACATGTATAGTGAACATGCCATTCAATGCTTAATAAATGAATATCAGAGGGACTAATATATATGCCTATACATGTATATGTAGTTATATACATATAGGTCCCTGGTATTATGTTATTATTAGATATTTTACATTTGTAAACTAAGTTTTGAAAACAACAAGCAAATTCAAAGAATTGTGGTCCCTCGCTTTCGATGTCTTAGTGGATGGGATGCCATAATTTATGGCATATTGTAACTGTCTTGTTTGTTTGTCCTGTCTTATCTGTGCATCAAACAAAAAGACATAAATTATTGAATTAATAACAGTTATGGCAAAGACTATAGCTTCTCAAAACTACATCAAACTTCAAGATCAAGGTCATGAGGTCAAATATCATAATAAAATCCAAAAGATCTTCTCACAAGTGATGCACATGTAAAAAAAAATATCAGAAACCAGAGTATACAATCAGAAAGGTCTTGAAACAGGTAATGCACATGTCAAATGTAAATACCATATCTTCTCTCAATCAAGCGTTATTAACAATGATAAACTTTTTAAAAATTAGGTCAAACTTCAAGGTCAAGGTCATGGGATTAAAAATCATAGTACATTTGGAAATACTTGTCACAGGTAATGCACTTATCAAATATGAATGCCCTATCTTTGCTCCTTCAAAAGTTAGCAAACTGATGAAATGTTTGAAAATTAGGCCAAACTGGAAGGTCAAGGTCACAGGGTCAAATATCATAGCATATTCAGAAACATTTTGACACAGGTAATGCACTTGTCAAATATGAACACCTTATCATATGTCATTCAAAAGTAATCACCAAATATAAAAATTTTTAAATTTAGGTCAAACATGAAGGTCAAGGTAAAGGGGTAAAAAATTATAGCATGCTCGGAAACACTTTGTCACTACTAATGCACATGTCAAATATGAAAGCCCTAACTATTCTAAATCAAAAGTTATAAGCAAAGATAAAAATTTTGAAAAGTAGGTAAGAAATGTTAAACTTCAAGGTAATGGTCATGGGGTCAAAAATCATAGTATATTTGGAAAGGTATTCTTACAGGTAATGTTCATATTTAATATGAAAGCCCTATCTTTTCTCATAAAATTTAATGACCAATTTAAAGAAATGTTCATTTTTTGAAAAGTTTGTCAAACTTCAAGGTCAAGGTCACGGGGTCAAAAGTCATAGTATAATTTCGAAAGGTCTTGTCACAGGTAATGAACAGGCATAATATGAAAGTCCTATCTTTTCTCATTCAAAAGTTATGACCAATTTAAGGTAATGTTAATTTTTTTGAAAAGTAGGTCAAACTTCAAGGCCAAGCCCACGGGGTCAAAATTCACAGTATATTTGGAAAGGTCTTGTTACAGGTAATGTACATGTGAAATGCAAAAGCCCAATCTCTCCTCACTCAAAAGTTATGGCCAAGGTTAAAGTTTTTGTGACAGACAGACCAACAGACGAATGAGATTTAATGTCCCCTCTCTTTTGCGAAAGCGAGGGACAATAAATACCTACACACATTTATAAGTATATAATTTAATTTTGTTTGTATTCTATCCTCTGATTGGTTAATATCCAAAAAGGAACACAAATTATTTCTGTATAACCTGGTTTGGTATGGGGACACACCCCCCTGACAACCAGCTGAATCATCTGTATGCATACAATCCTCTCATTTCCAGTCCTCGGGATTCATGGAAAATTCCAGATTTAATAAATATACCTTTAACTTCAAACAATAATTCGATCTTAACACATGTAAACAAGCTGCTAGGCCTATGTATTAGTTTTTACCTCCCCTCGCTTCCCATCACTTCCGTTACTACGGTTGTATTATTGAGCGGCAAATTTGAATTAATAAAAACCAACGAAATTTTACACCCATAGTTATTTAATGATTTTAAAATTAAATTATAAGGAATGACTCTAATTCTTGGCCAAATTATTCGAGTATAACCTGGTTTGGGTCAGTTTACGCTTTATAATCTGCGAAGCATTCCTAAAATAGTTTGTTCAGCACCAATAAATACAACTCCTCAATGTGATCATATATTGTGTAAAATTTGCTGGAGTTTTAAGATAACAAAAAAGCCATCTATGACAATCAAATACCCTTTGACATCTTTGCCTGAAAATGTCATCCTTGAACTTTGTAACAATAATATGCATGCAACTATCAAACTTAATTTCACATTTAGATGCAAAATACTTATTCAAGGATGAAATTTCTTTTTGAGAATTTGTAGCACAAACATTTATTGATCAGTGTCAATAACTTGTATTGAAATTGAATTAAAAATTACCTCTTGAGGGTTTCTACTGCAAGTACATGTATATGTAGTTCATTTGTAAAAATCTAAATTTTAAATGATCTAAAGCAGGCACATTTTTATATATTCCAGAACTGTATTTTAAGATTTTAACTGTATTTGAAAATGTAAAGCAACTGAATACATAGAGCTAGGTATATATCATTTACAAGTTGTTGTAATGCCAGTACATGTAAATCTTCACATTGTAATCTAATGAAAGATAATGCTTGAAAAATTCACTCTGGGAGTAAGATTTCAAATCTGAATCAAAGATTTTGTAAAGTAATCACATTCTACAAAGCGTGCACTGTATCGGGTACTTGGGAATCAAATAATTAAACATTATATAATTATAAATAAAGCTATTTTTGACTGAAAGTTTCTGAAAAAAATCAAGAATGGAATCATGCAACAAGCAGCAGTGACTTTGATAACATGCATTGACTTCCATATTTCTACAAAAACATTTCTTTGATCAGATAAATATGTAATTCCTGCTTCTGACATGATATATTCTGAGAAAATCTCTTTTCCACAGACAGCCATAATTCATTTGATGTGAGAATTTCTTGCTGAACATGTGTCCGCCTGGTGAAAGTCCAAATTTTTTGTTGACCTATAATTAAAAAAAAAGTAATATATTTTACATAGCAGCACAGATGCTGCATTACATGATAGTTAGATAAAGTTGTGTCCATAATTCTTATACATCTACCTCAATAGTCCATCTGCCAGCACTCCTTGCTCAATCATCCTGCATTCTGACCTCCAGTCTTTTTTCTAGTCTAGGGTAAAGTAGGGTTGTTTTTCTCCTAAGAACTAAACATGAACATCCCTTAGACTATTTTTTTTAAATTAATGGAAATTGATTATAAGATTAAAAAACTTATCTCATCTGTATTTCATTTATTGATTTAAATAAATGAAGATATTTTAATAGATTCTACCACATGCATAATGTCTTATATTATAGTGTATTGGATATAAATAAATAGACATTTTTTATCCTAAAAGTACAGAAAAGTAAAAAAAAAAAAAACAACAACAACAATAATATAAATAGTTTTTTAACAATAATGTTTCATTTTGCTCTATTTATTAGACAATTGTGTGTTTCAATATTAGGCCAATTGATATTTCCACATACAATATCAAGTTATTTTTCCGTTTGATTTGCACCCAAGCGGGACACCTTACTTTTCTAATAACTTGATGATTGTTCCAAGCAGGCATTTCAACGTTGATTCAACGTTGAATCAACGTTGCACTTCAACGTTGAATTTTGGTTGCATATGAAAGTTGAGGCAACGTTGAGACATCAACGTTGTTTCAACGTCAATTTTCAACGTTGAATAGACGTTGAAAATGGGTTGAACTTTGGTTTATTTATAGTTGAATTTTGGTTGCAAATGAAAGTTGAGGCAACGTTGAAATTTCAACGTTGTTTCAACGTCAAATATCAACATTGAAAAACGGTTGAACATTGGTTGAAATTAGGTTGACGTTTGGTTGAAATTTTTTTGGTTGTACAAATGTTGATATTTGGTTGAAATCACGTTGAAGTCATACTGAGTTTTGCTTTATAAACAAATACATTTCACATTCTAATAAAAGTTTTATTCAAGTTGCCAAATACGTAAGTTGTAATTCAGTATTAAGATTCTGAGTAAGATTATTTTAAACTGTATTTTAAAAACAAAGATAAATCGAGGATCCAATCACCAAATCTCATAAATCACTGTTTAACAAAATTTATCTTCATAGTGAAAAGGGGGTCACAGTAATCATTTCCAGGTTCATCTTATCACGCATCTGTCTAAAACTAAGTTCCACAAAGTGCGGATCCATTGATAGTTACATGTCCCGGTAAGTCCCACACAATGACTCGTCAGTCGGAAAGAAATGATCAGAAAGCTCCATCCTCTAATGCAAAACCAATTACCAAATGAAATAATGATATGAAAGTCATTTATTTGATAACTTGTTATTTCAAATGATAAAAATATACATGAATAATAATAAAAAAAACAACAACAGACAAAAGTACATGTTCTTATACTTGGAATTAATGAAAAGAATTATATCTGTCCTCATGTTAGAATTCATAACTGTAACAGTATGATTATAAATAATTATTACTGAAGAAAAATGTTAAAAACATGGAGATGTACACACACAATATTGCATTCCTTTGTAATTTTCACGGGCGATGGATCTCATCCAATCAGGGCATCAATTACGTCTCAAAGCTGGCAGTGGTTGATGGAACCTTAATTACGGCCAACTGCAATTAAATTGTATACTATATTTTAATTTCATGTGCAAATATATATCAACCAAACACAAAAAAACACGAACTAAGGATGTGCATTTCACGCAAATTAATTTAGACAATATAAGGTTGGACAACAGGCACTGCCTGTATAAGTCCTCTCCATAATACAAGGTCAATGTCATACATTTACAAGTAAATATTAGTTACATATCATTGAAAAAATAAATATATACATGTGTATATTCAAAAGAAATTTATAAAAATAAGACAAAATAAATGGTAGAAAATTAATTATAAGTGAGCTGATGATACAGTATGTTTGCAGTTTAACATATATGACTAACAAAAATAATACAGGTATAAATGTGAAAGTTAATAAGAACACATTAATAGATGCTGGTTCTGTGGTTTGACAATTTAAAAAAAAAGAGAAGAGAAACAATATCATGCAAATCTCTTTGTAGATGTAATTAATTCATGAACAAGTTTAAATACTGCAATATTTTGGTTGTAAGTAAGGTTACTGTCTCCATTCAAAATAAGTTGTAAGGATAAAGCCATTAGTAATTGCGAAGTATTAAAGTTTTGCATGCAGATTACAAATATGCTAATAAAACAAGAATAAAATGATGTATGCGTACTAGAAAATCTAAAATTTCTTCTAAATCCATGAAAAGGAAATTATACTTACTGAGCAGAAGTTGATAATCCAGCCTTAATCCTTGTGCATGCCATGTAAAATACATAGTATGTGAACAGCAAGAAGACGCGCACTTCTTGTCCATCAGTTGAATTCAAATTTTGACCTAGATAAGCTGCAAACAACTTCTCTGTATCGCTGCCCAGCAAGAAAATTGCATAACAAGTTTATCATGACACTGAAACTGACCAGCTAAGCTAGAACCACTCCTTATCTGATGCCTTGAAGATAAATTTGGGGAGTGGATCTAAGTAATGTAAACTGACCGGGGTTAATCGTACGTTAGTGTGAAAACTGTTAAACCTTTTTTTAACGTGTTTATTTTAATGTTTTTATATTTTGTGATAAGAAAGATTAAAGTAATATATCTAATACAGTTTACTTTTTTTTCCTTTCATATAAATGCAACAAAAGCACAATCTAATTAAAATCAGACTTCTTAGTTCCGCTCCGTATACATTCTGCGCAGAGTATACGGCGCGGATCTAAGAAGTCTAATTTTAATTAGATTACATTAATTTGGAATAAATTATTATTTTTATTAATTCTATAGTAACATAGAATTACAGTGAAGTATTGGATAAAGATGTCATTATTTATAAAAAGCTTATCTTAAGCACAAAATGCTTCTCTTTTTCATTTATGCATAAACACTGCATTCAGAATTAATTTACAAATTAACTTTTTTGAAACATGCAATTACAGTGGAGAGTTGAATATAGATGTCATACTTCATATTAACTCATATCAAACATTTTATTACAGTACTGTAAGCACAATTCTTTTGAATGAAATCTAAATAAATTAATTCATAATACATTTCATTTATTGTGAATAATCATGATATTTTCTAACATTGCATATATAGCAAAAAATTACACTGATTTAGCGTTCAATAACCCTTACTATTTTGACCTTGAAAAATAAGGCGCTCATTACCCGTTGTTTCAACATTAAATTTTCCTCACTTTTTCAACGTTGAAAATATACTGCATCCTCGATGTTGTTTCAACGTAAAGATATTAACGAACATTCCAAGTTGAAAATAGGCTGCATTTTTAACATCGCTTCAACCATAAAATAACAGGAAATATTTAACGTTGAAAATATGTTAAATCTTCAACGTTGTATCAACGTTGAAATATCGACGAACATTCAACGTTGAAAATATGTTGCATCTTCAACGTTGTTTCAACGTTGTGAAAGGGTTAAGGATTCAACGTTGAAAATATGTTGAATCTTCAACGTTGTTTCAACGTTGAAATATCGACGAACATTCAACGTTGAAAATATGTTGCATCTTCAACGTTGTTTCAACGTTGTAAAAAGGTTGATGATTCAACGTTGAAACCTCAACGTTGAAACAACGTTGAACTATAGTTGTTCAACGTTGCAACCTATATTCCACCTACTTTCAACGTTGATACAACGTTGCGTGCCTGCTGGGTTGTGTCTTGAACAAAGTAGGCTAGTTAAAAATATAAAATTTGTTGTAATCATATACAAAAAAGGCTATTTTTGTGAATTATTATTCATAAACCTGACGAACACACAAAATATATCCTCTTCAAATGTTGACAAGTCACGGGAATAAGCAGACGAAATATTGATAACAGGACTATAATTTCTGTGCGAATTCCCATAAATCAATACAAACCAGCATGTAATTGAGTTCAATTTCAAAATTATAAAAATCTTCAGACATATATAACTAACTTACATGCTCACTGCACACGACATGACATCAGACGAGGCAATGTGGATCTGCAATCTTGCACATGTTTGTGACCTTCAAGTTCAAGCTTCCCTTTTGGCTGATCGGAATTTCCCGGGCATGAATAACTATGATTTAATTTGTCATAACTGTCCCTGGGCTTCTGCAATGCTTCGATAATGTTCACAGTTTGTAGATTTTACAAAACAACCCTCTCGGGGTTTTCTACGGAAAATGATCTGGACATGTCGCTACCGAACTGCGAATATTATGGCGATTGTCGCAAATCAAAGAAAATATTACGAAAAATTTATTAATTTCAAAAGAAATAGATTCAACATTACTTAAACTGACAAATTAACTAATAGTTTTTCCTTCAGTATAATTAAATATGAATTTTGCATTTTACGACTTGCATAATTTATGGAGACCCATTGACGACGTAAAATGCTGACAAGAATCCATCCTTAATATCTTCAAGAAAATATCTTGGTTGTTAATATACATGTATAAATGTATCAATGTGTGTTGTTAAATAGCCCTAGGCTGTATGAAAGTTTATCAAAAACTTCGAGGACTGGCCTCATAAAATTTAAATGGTTACATCAATGAATTTTTACACATTTATTCAACATCATTTTTGTCTACAGAATAAGCTATAAGATGTATGGTTGTCCTTGATTAAATTGTAAACGTTTCTGTAAGCAATTGTATGACCTTAAGCAGTGCAACCTCAATAATTAGTTTTATATGAGCACTTGATTATAATCCAAATTTCAATTTAATTCACTGTTTAGTGGAACCAAAGTCAGTCATGTCGAAAAGTATAATGTTGCTCACATGTGGTTGAAATTGAATCCATAAATATCTATCATTGTCTTTGATTTAAAAACAAATGGCTACCCAGTAATGCCTTAATTTGGCATTACATTACAAAAAATCAAAACCAATTCATTAATACACGAGTGTCATTTGTTTTAAGACTTAGCTCAGGTAGAGATGTAATCTATACAGTCAGCTGGCATAAATGTGAAACACAAAGATCCAAATTGGGGTACATGTCTTTGATGTATGTGAAGAAGGGTTCAAGAAAATTGTGAAATGTAAAGAATATAGAACGAATGTCAGTGGGAAAAGTGATTAATTGAAAAATCCGAAAGAAAAATGTCATATAAGATATTAAGACTAACCATCTTTGAGGGAGAATCTTGGGTAACAGTGAATCATTACTTTGTTCTTTACTTAAGTTTTCAACTCACCTTACATGCCATATAACTCTGCTAAAGGAACACATCTCCCCAAAACAGGAGCACATAACTGTCAACATTCAATTTGCTGAAAAACGTGTGTGATTGTTTGATTGTTGTTTGAAAGACCTACAGTATTTATTAAAAGATTTAAGTTTAATACTATGTGCATTGCATGATTTAAAATCTGTGGACATGGCTTTAGATTCTTGCCTTTGAAAAGAGGATGTTAACATTAGTTAAGCACAAGATATGTTGATGGAATCCCACCAAGAGCTCATACAATTCTTTTTAATTTTGTTATCAGAAACTGTGAATCTGTCAGGAACACTTGAAGATGAGGAAGAACAGATCAGTATTAAACCAGGGGTTTGTGCTGAGAGATCAAAATTATTTCAATCTATTTTTTGCATATATACTCAGAAACTGGTGCGGATGCCAGCTAGCTCTGCATCTATACAGAGAATTTTCTTCAATTTTTGCCTACTTCAATCTAAGCTAACAACCAAACTTAGCGGAGTTGGAGGGGATATAGTAAAGCGCCTGTGTGCTTGTGGGTGAGTTAGTTTGTCCTTGTGTGCGTAACAGAAGTGACGTAATTTGCATCGGGATTAATGTTGAATAATGCCTTGATTTATAGATTATGCTCTTTTTGGAGGGGATTCTCTGCTTTGTGGTGCCCTTGTTTATGTATCAATATACCCTTATCACCTGCAGATGTCTCCCAGTTGATTTAATACACAATTATTATTAATATTATTAATTATTAGGCCATTATTTACACCCTGAATTGACTAGGGATTTTTCCGTTTGCCTGAGCATGACAAGGAACACACGACGGGTGTGATTGGTCTACAGGGAATGCTTACTCATTTCATAAACAATGACACTAGTAACCCTCGTTTGTAAGATATGCAAGTTCACCTTTCCAAAATTCTATAAAGAACAGTACAAATTCAAAACAAAGCAGATGACTTACTTCTGTGAAAACAAATTTGGGGAGATTTGATTATCAGTATAAGCCTATAGGGCCATCTTTAAAAATTGATTGTTTGCCCTCTCCGGGCTGACTGGCTACTGATCGACTCAAAACTTTTTTAACCACCAGAAAGCAATTATTTTTTTTATTCATTCTGGACAATAGATTTTGAAAATTAAGCATCGAAATTGAGATTTTCTGAGGAAAAAAAATTACCACCTACCTACTAACTCAATTTTTTCGTCCGGAGTCGGGAGAGGGCAAACAAACGTGATAAATATTTATTTTTTCTTTTATGTCAAATGTATGAACTAAATTTATATACTTTAAAAATACATTGAACAATAACGCTGTTTCTGTGTCATAATCGGTAAAATGTGGGAATGACTTTCTTTGCATTGTCAGTTCAATCTCTAGAGTGGGTGCTGCCATATTTTCTGTAGAAAAGAGAGCTATCCACTATTTCAGCATAGTATGCCTAATATGCTATATAAATTCTTTTACTTCATGTATAAGGAAAAAATGTTTAGTAGTGATTTAGGAAAGACAGACTTACAGGAAGCATAATAATATGTCTTATTACAATGTTATATTATTCATCCAAATAGGTGAATTTTATGTCAAATGTATGAACTAAATTTATATACTTTAAAAATACACTGAACAGTAAAGCTGTTTCTGTGTCATAATCGGTAAAATGTGGGAATGACTTTCTTTGCATTGTCAGTTCAATCTCTAGAGTGGGTGCTGCCATATTTTCTGTAGAAAAGGAAGCTGTCCACTATTTCAGCATAGTATGCCTAATATGCTATATAAATTCTTTTACTTCATGTATAAGGAAAAATGATTAGTAGTGATTTAGGAAAGACAGACTTACAGGAAGCATAATAATATGTCTTATTACAATGTTATATTATTCATCCAAATAGGTGAAAGAGGACTCTTCAAACAGATTGACTATGAAATTATTTTAAACTATTTTTAAGTATAGGTGCCATTTTATCATTGAATACTGGATCAAACTAGGTCATATAATTTTTTTTAGTTACAATTCTTTTTAGTTTTTTAATAGCGTAGAATTTAGATCTTGAACTTATTAAACATGTTAAATGTAAAACAAATAAAATTGTTAATTTTAGATTAATTTTAGAATATCACATAAACTGTTAACATTTATCTACTTTAAGAAAACACAAAATGGGATTTAGAAAATAATCTCTGATTCAGATTTTAACTTTTGAGTACTTTTAAATGATTCAATTGAAATATGAGAAGATATTTAACTTTTCTGTATACTTTTCGCCACCTTGAATCACTCCTGCACTAGACCTATAATATAGCAATCTAAGTTGGATTGTAAATTTTAATAGAAATGGTCATATTGCAACAGATATTATAAGAATACTATAATCTTTGACATTTTTAACAGATAATTCTTTCATAATTTAATTTTTTTTTTTGATTTTCCACCTTTCATCATTCAGATAACAATATATAAAGTATACATAATATAAACATTGCAGATTTTTATTGAACATTCACTCACTGACTCGTTCTTCTCACTCATTCCATTACAGTATCACCATGATATATATTATAAAAAAAAATGTGTACATTCCATATATATACATGTATACGATGTTTACTATGGCTATGAGTAAAAATTGCCATGTTTCTTTATAATTGTCACATTTATCTTTCAAATAAATTGTATAAAAAAGACCATCTCATTTGAATTCGATGTCCTCCACATTGCATGCAAAAAAATTTTCAAATGCATAGTATTTACAAATTATATTGTTAACTAGTTCGTTAAATATCAAAGGTTTACAATTTCTAGATTGTTGGTACACATACTGTTTTACTTATAAGAATACAAATATCTACATATGGTATACGGTTGCAAATAGTAAACAGAATAGTTTTAATCATGTCCACATTTATTTTGCAGTCATGTCTGAATGAAAATAAAACTGCAGCACACATTGTTTATATATATTTGATTATTTTCACTTTACCACTGTTAAACTCGGCCACAAAGAGGTGATCTTTGGTGTCTACACATAAACCCCATGGATAGTTTAGATAACAGTTATCAATGTAACGGAGGAAATGTCCGTCCTGATCTAGGATGTGGATACAGTGGTTGTCACAGTCTGCTGTCAGGATCTGACTCTGGCTGTCTGTTGTGATGCCAAGTGGATCAAACGATCGCTTGTTAGTAGATGGATGACCAGTGTATCTAAATCGGAGTTTTCCTGCCTGATTAACCACCACTACTGCCTTGGCTTCCTGGTCAGCCACACAGATATCCAGGTTTCTGTTCTCACTGATGTGATTAAGGTAGCCAGATGAATACAGAGGTTTACCTTCATTATCAAGCTAAATGGTTTGTTTCTCTGTGGAGCCAGAGTAACGGACAACATTTGATCGTTCATCATCGCTGTACATGGTAACCAGATGGTCGCCTTCGTGAGACAGGGTACTACAGACATAGTAAGGTGTCCATCCCTGTAGTCTTATCACTTTCCGTATCTGGTTATTCTTCACTATGTTTACTGTTCTTGTATCAGGGTCAGTATAAATTAAATCTCCACTCCTTGTCACTGTGATGTCACCTGGCCATTTCCCTGACTTGGTTTGGATTGACTTCTGCAGTTTGCCGTTGAGGTTGTAGAGTTTTATTATTTTGTCTTGGCCACGTGTCCAGATTTCTTCATCACTGAGACAGGTAACACTGCGTAGATATTCATACCCAGTGTCTATGGTGGTGATGAGCTCTGGTGCATCAAGCAGTTGTTTGACTGGAGAACAAGATACAGCTTCTGGTGTCTCCATTGTGTAGCCATGTTTAGACTTTCTCAAATCATAAGGCACCACTTCATGTTTCTTAGAGACGTCAGAGATATGTTCCTCCACGCAGCTCTTACAAAGATTCATTAGACATAAATTACAGTACATTTGCACAACTCTGTCTTTGTAGAGGTCACATCTGATGATGTCCTTGGCACAAAGTCTGGGGTTCA